ATCCTCAGAGCACACTGGCCGCTCCTGGGCCTCTGCCCTCCTTCCCCCCAGGAGCACCGCTCTGCCTGCCAGGCTCCACCCAGCAGTGTCCCAGACTTCTAAAACTTCAGATTTTGGGCTCCAATGCTCGTAAAAACTTGCAATAATCAGCCACTCTAGTTTTCCCAGTGAATGAACACCATTCTCTCTCTCTGGGTAAGTCTCTCTCTGGTGCAGTTCCCTGCATGCTGCCTTCTCTCTGTTTCTCTCTTTCCTCTCTCTGAGATTAAGGCTCCCTCCCCTCCACAGCACCCATAATTCTTTGCTCCCTGTATCACGTCCTACCTCCAGGATGTGGCTTCTTTTCTCTCTAGTTCTCTAGTTTGTTCTCTCACCATTCAGATTGATCTCTCGGATGTTTGGAAAGTTTTAATATTTATCTAGCTGTGATTTAGAGACAAGGCAAGCCTAGGGTCCCCCTACCTCTGTGCCATCTTAACTCCCTCCTCGGGCCTTGTTTCTTAAATGATACCCAAATCAGTGCTACTGGGATTTGATTTCAGTTCAGTTGTTTTAAGTTATGGGTCAGAGGTTCTGATGTAAAAATCTTTGAAAAGGGTATGTTCTTGTATGTGTTCACTTTTTTTTTTTACAAGCCATGTTACAATGGCAGCTTCTCCCTCTTAAGAAGGAGCATTTTGATGATGTTTTCTTATTTGCCTACCAGACTCTGTTTCATTGTTTGCATTGTGTGTTCATGCCAGTCTGATTTGCAGGGAGAGAAATTAAAATACATCTCAAACTGTCACCTTTAGAAAACATTCCCTTATTAGAGCAAAATAAATAATGGCTTTACTCAGGGGCTTGGAATTGGAGAGCTTCAGGCTGGGAAGTACCTTGAAGTACTTCACCTCTGTAAGCCTATTTTCGTCACTTAATGGAATCTACCTCTTAAGATAGATTCCCCCATCCTCCCACCCCCGTCCCCTCTAAAACCCTCAGTTTGAGGAGTAGATCAGATAATGCACCAAAAGTGCTTAATACTTGGCACCAAGGAAGTTTTTAATAGATAGTGACCTGTGGGAAAGAAGGGAGTAATGTATGAATATATATTAGGTACCTGCTGTAACTTTCAGAACTTTTTAGAAAAGCTTTATAGGTACATCTTTGTACACCTAGTGTGTGTGTGTAGTTGTTAAAATGGTTCTTCTAAATAAAAGGGGGGGAGCTGTCAAGTCTATTCTGAATGAAGAGAAGTAGCGGAGAGTGATCAAATGGCAATTTCTGCTGTAGAAATTGAAGTTGTAATTGTCCCAGGGGAGGACATCATCCAACACACTAGAGAATTCCTCTAGTAGTAGTAGTAGTAGTAGTAGTAGTAGTAGTAGTAGTCGTAGTAGTCGTAGTAGTAGTAAGGACTAGAACGAACAGGGGAGAGGATCTCTACTTGAAGTCTTAATTTTTTAATATTATAAAAACCTTCCTCTGTCATAGTTTTGTGATAAGTAAATAGAGTTCAGTGAGATTCAAGAGGTTCCATCTTGGTTTGCATTTGCTATGAGACATGCATGTTTTTAAATATACACAATTGCTGAAGCCTCTATAGAATTTTCTTTTTAAAGGTTTTATTTATTTGACAGAGAGTGAGAGAGAGAGAGAGCCAGAGAGCACAAGTGGAGAAACAGCAGAGGGAGCAGGAGAAGCAGGCTCCCCGCTGAGCAGGGAGCCCGATGTGATGTGATACAATGCGATGCCATGCGTGGGACTCGGTTCCCAGGACCCTGGGATCATGACCTGAGCTGAAGGCAGACGCTTAACCAACTGGACCACCCAGGTGCCCTGCCTCTGTAGAAATTTTAAGGTGTTTTATAGACAGCATTAATAGGGAAGAGTCAGGCTTACCAAGTCCACATTAAAACGAGGATTTGACTTCCTGCATCATTCTCATTTTTTTGTTGTTTCATTGTGAAGATAATTTTTTTTAAATGGCTACCTTTGGCTTTCATTTTGTTGCTACAGATGTGTGACACATTTGTTGGGGGAGGGGAGTGTCAAGAAAAGTGTATTCGCAGATATGATTAGGTCTGCATTGTTAATCCTGTTCGGAGGTTGTATAATTTATTTACATATTTATTTTTAAAAGATTGTATTTATTTATTTGACAGAGAGAGACACAGCGAGAGAGGGAACACAAGCAGGGGGGGTGGGGGAGGGAGAAGCAGGCTTCCCGCCAAGCAGGGAGCCTGATGCGGGGCTCGATCCCAGGGCCCCAGGATCACGACCTGAGCCGAAGGCAGGTGCTTAACGACTGAGCCACCCAGGTGCCCCTGGAGGTTGTACAATTAAAAAAAAAAATGCTCAGTTTAACACTAATTAGATTTCCATGTTCTGAATTAAGAGTGTCTGGATATTGCTGTTTAAATATTTAATATTTGATCATTTGGCTATATTTTCGAATATTCCAGGAATATGTATCAGTTTTTGTTGCTTTGTGACAATTTTGCATTCAATTTTATTTCAGACTGTTATTAGATAGAAAATGATTAAAGTGACTTTCAGAACCTTGTTTTTAGTATGAGAGTTTTTTAAAAAAATGATTTTGAGACAAGTGAATAGAGTTACAACTTGAAACACAGTGTATGGAGTGAATAGGACCTGGGTTTACATTGAAACTCCTTTCTTAACAAACACTTCAGTGCAGTGTTGGGCCGAAAGTAGGGGCTCAGAGAATATGTGCAACTTGTTGATCTGACAAGTATATATCCGTTTTATGAAACTCTAGTGTTAACAGTGTTAAGGATTTAGATGTGAATAATGAAGACCACTGTAGTTTTCAAAAAATGCAGTCAACTTACAATGTTCTAACTGTAGTTTAATTTCTAAATTGATTTAAAGTACACAGTATGGGTCTTGAACAGTGTGGGTCTAAAACGACAGGAGACGGGTTGGTAATTATTGTTTGTAGTGGGATGACTTGGAGCAGTAAATGCTTTAATTGGAAGTCAAATAGCTATCAAGAGATGACAGTTCTGGCATGTACTTGTTTGGAATGTAGAGGAGGTGATGATTATGGAAAAGCTATCTGCTGAGGCTGATATTTTGGGGGAGAATATGAAAGGTGTGAAAATGTCTGATTTTCAGGTAAAATAATAGACTTGCACAACTCTGATCACTTAACCTAATGTGGCTTTTCTATGTAATAAGCTTGTGTGAAACTGTTCAGACATTAAAAACAAATATTTCAGATGTGTTCCCAAGAAATAGTACTGAAAATTCTGAGGCAAATCCAGATTTTTCCTCCCTATTGAAAAACTGTTCTGGCTGTCTAGATTGTTTGTATAGGTCTAGCAAACAGAAAGTATGCTTCAGTATTTTTTGTAGTTCACTAGCTTTTATTTCCTTGACAAGCAGATTGTGAAGATGAATTCCAGAAATGAAAGGTGCTAGTGTAATAGTGTAGTTTTATTTGAAAACCACAGTACATGAAATAGTCTGTTTTATTTATTTAATTTACTGTTTTTTGAGTATAGTTGACACACAGTGTTCTGTTAGTATATATACGTGGAACCACAAGTTTACACGTTACGCCGCGCTCCCCACAATGGAGCTACCATCTGTCACCATCCAGCACTATTACAATATCATGGACTATATTCCTTATGCTGTGCCTTTTATTCCCCTGATTTACTCATTCCGTAACTGGAAGCCTGTATCTCCCACTCACCTTCACCCATTTTGCCCATCCCCTATCCCCCTCCCCTCTGGCAACCAGTAGTTTGTTCTTTAAACACAGCCTGTTTTAAATGGGCTGTGTGCGTGCGTGTGTGTGTGTGTGTGTGTGTGTGTGTGTGTGTGTGTGTGTGTATAGTTTTCTGAGTTTAGGGAATATTTATATATAAAGAATACAAACCTATATTCTTGCTCAGTTATGGTTCATATTTTAGAGAGTTAATATCTGTAATATGATAGAACTGTGGTTACTCTGAGAAACCAAATGTTGTTTGTGTCAGGGATATTTCATTGCTTTTTCCTGTCAGAAAAAGTAAATGCAGCTTGGGGAAAAAAGGTGTAGTGATTAATGGTATACTGAGATAATACACGCTTGCATATTGCCATTTTGATGCTGTGTTGGGGGAATATTATAGGTATGCTATGGATAGGCAGATGGGGAATTTTAAGTACATAAACTGTAAATCAGTCTGTTCAGTCAAATCATTTCCCTTATATGGGAGAAGGGAGTGGAACAATACTAGATTTTTATGTACAGAAAAAAAATGTCAGCCTTTTAACATCCCCTTTTGGGTCCGTTAGGTGGGTAGGTGCAACCTTGCATTATTATTACTTGGGCACCTCAGGATATGAAAGTGTTGACCAGCAGGATATGTACAGGAAAATGGCAGAAAGATCTAGGGGATAAAGTATTTGATTGAAAAAAACAAAAAAACAGGCCAAAGGAACAAATTATCAATAATTTGAGAAAGAGGTCTTGGAAGTTAGGTTATGTATTCTTGAAAACAGTGGCAAAAGTAGAGGATTTATTTGTATCATTCTCATTCCAAAAAGGATTAGAGACAAAGTAGATGGGTTACTTATATTGGTGATGTGGGTTTTAGATCAAGGTGAATGGAGAGGGAGAATGGGAAGAAGCTGGTTTTCATACTGTGGAAGTTTTTCTCTTAACTTGAGCTGTGGGCTTGCTGCCATCTTGCAGGGGAGCTTCATTCGGCTCCCGCTTGGATAATATAGACTTGGGCAGCTCAGTGGGAGACTGCATGATCTTTTCAATTGCTGTCTCTAGTGTTGATATCAAGTAAGCATTTTCAATAATATTTATCAAGTCATTCCATTTAAGTTCCTGTATCCTAGTGAAAAAATATCTTGCTTCAGTGATAGTTTGTACATGTAAGCTTTTAGGCTTTTAGTATGTAATAGGTCTTAATAGCATTGTTACTATATGTATTATGTAATATTTTCCCATAAAGCTCTAATCTGGACTAAAATTTATACTACTTTCTTTCTAGGACAGCCAGTAGAGGGGACTTCATGTTTTCTGCGGATCGTTTGGTAGGTGGAGGCTTTCCATTTTTGTTTCATTGTTCCTAGTGATATAATCATAGTAGGCCAAGTGACTTTTTTGTTCTAGAGAATCCTGGGGGGTGAGAGATCGTGCCAAGTAATCATCATCCTGGCAGGCTTCTGAAGTATTGTTTCTACTCGTTCATTAAAGCTGTGCCTCAATCCCTTTCACCTCAAAGCATTGCCCATGAACTCGTTCTCTGTAATTCTGAGGCACTTCTACCTCTCAAGTGGATCTTGGCAACCCTTAAAGATGTCATCTTAGGGCAGTGAAGTGAAGTACATTAAAAGAAAACCAAAGATGTAAGGAGACCTAGTAGTTACCCTTGTGGTATTCATTTAATACAGAAACACTAATACCCCCTCTTGTAGTTTACCTGGAGGGTTACTTATTTTACTGTACTTTTCTGTACTATCCTCACATGTGAAATACTAAGTTGGGCTGTGTATGCTTCCCTCAGGGACTTCCTGTTAAGGATTGGCCAAGCCCAGTTCAGTTTATTTATCTATTTTTAAATTTGCAAAGGAGACCTTTTTTGTAAATTTAAAAAAAATTTTAAAATTTAAATTCAATTAGCCAACATATAGTACATCATTAGTTTTAGATGGAGAGTTCAGCAATTCATCAGTTGCATATAACACCCAGTGGCCATCACATCACGTGCCCTCCTTAATGCCCATCACCCAGTTACCCCATCCCCCCACCCACCTCCCCTCCAGCAACCCTCAGTTTGTTTCCTGGAGTCCAGAGCCTCTCATCGTTTGTCTCCTTCTCTGATTTCTTCCCATTCAGTTTTCCCTCCCTTCCCCTATGATCCTCTGCGCTGTTTCTTATATTCCACACATAGGAGTGAAAGCATATGATACATGTCTTTCTCTGTTTGACTTACTTCGCTCAGCATAATACTCTCCAGTTCCATCCACATCCATGTCAATGGTCAGTGTTCATCCTTTTTGATAAGCCCAATTCAGTTTAGCTAGTGAGGTCTGAGAGGATCTCAGGCTGAATTGGGTTGTTTTCAGGTAAAGCACTCTATTTCCTTCTTGTGTTTCCATCTAAGTGTGCTCAGTGCTTGAAATAAGGTTGACACATCTTCTGCTGTGCTATTAGTATTCATCTGTTGATGAAGTATATACTGAACTCGAGTCAGGCCCTGGGCTAGGCGGTGTTGCAGGGGGAGGAGATTCAGCAGTACAGAATACAGACATTGTCCCTGATCTCATGGAGTTTACAATCGAAATGCTGTTGGCAGTATTTAGTGTGGGAAAGAAAGAAAAGTGGCTTGTTATCCTCACAGGTGTAATCAGAGAATAGAGGATAGATTATTAAAGGGAGCGCGAGGGGGAAAAAGGCGTGAAACTTTTCATTTAGATTTTCCCTGGGGAAAATACTAATTCCAAAGGAGTGTAGGCAGCTCCTGTTGTGCTTTTAGCTTTAAGTATTTCTGGTTCAGAGGCCACTTCTCTTTGCAATCATTTGAGCTTCCGGGGGCAGTAATAACCCTTGGATGGCATCAAGGTCAGTGTATTTGGCACTCCTGGAGTGATAGGTCATTCTGTCTTTATGCTTTTTTTCTTAAGATTTTATTTTATTTTATTATTTGAGAGCACAAGCAGGGAGAGCAGCAGGCAGAGGCAGAGGGAGAAGCAGGCTCCTCGCTGAGCAGGGAGCCCGACGCAGGACTTGATCCCAGGACCCTGAGATCATGACCTGAGCCGAAGGCAGACACTTAACCCACTGAGCCACCCGGGCGCCTCTGTCTTTATGCTTTTATCAAACCAAAGGAACGGGTTCAAGGAGGAAGGAACCTGTGTCATTGGCTGCTGTGGAGAAAACAGAAGTGTTGGTGTTCATTAGTAGAAAATGGTTCCTCTTTCTTTTGCTTTCTTTGCCTTTTGTCTATAGGCAGTAGGAGTTAAGTTCATGGTTATTGTAAAATGCTTGCTTGAAAGGGCAGGCATTATATCTTAATCAAATCAAATAGTAAGGACCCATGACAATTGACATGAGGGAATGGTAATTTGGACCTCTCTATTCTCTGCAGTTGGCTTTGAAGGTTCTGATACTGGGAGAGTGTGTGGAGGGTCTTTTGTGGTTGTGGTGGGGACTGGAGCTATTTAGGTTTCTGGTATTGAGGATTTCTAGCACACTGTCTGTTGGGTCCCATTATAGGTGACATTAATTCTATCCTGGATTTGTCAGGATTGGCTTCCCTGGCACTCAGATCTTGAGTTCTTTCTATTTAGTCACCCTTCTGCTGGTTTTATGTTCTCCTATAAGGCTTGGACATACTAATTTCTGTCCCAGAGTTGCAGGAGATGGGCAGGAGGTAAGACTGTCTAGAAAGAGTGTTACAGGTAGCTCAGTCCATTAAGTGCCTGACTCTTGATTTTGGCTCAGGTCGTGATCTCAGGGTCGTGAGATAGAGTCCTATGTTGAGCTCCATACTCAGCGTGGAGTCTGCATGAGACTTTCCCTCTCCCTTTGCCCACTTACTCCCCCCACCCATGCTCTCTCTCTCAAATAAATATATAAATCTTAAAAAAAAAAAAAAAAGACGGGTGTTACTAGGAGATCTAGGCTATCCAAAGAAAAGGATCCTTTTCTTCCCTTCAACTTGCTCCTAAGAAACATTCACCTCAGGGCGCCTGGGTGGCTCAGTCGTTAAGTGTCTGCCTTCGGCTCAGGTCATGATCCCAGGGTCCTGGGATCGAGCCCCGCATCGGGCTCCCTGCTCCGCGGGAAGCCTGCTTCTCCCTCTCCCACTCCCCCTGCTTGTGTTCCCTCTCTTGCTGTGTCTTTCTCTGTCAAATAAATAAATAAAATCTTGAAAAAAAAAAACATTCCCCTCCACCGAAGGTGGTGGCTAGGGATGAGTGTGCATACATACACAGTATTCGTCAGGTCCCTGGGCCCTCTGGTACTTCAGGCTGACAAAGTGCTGGCCCATTTAGCATTGATCATTTTAATGGCAGCAAGGTGTGGTGTTGTGATGACAGAACATGGTATTTCTCCCTGCTTTTCCTAATTCTTAATCAATAATGTAATATTGATTAGAGAAAATGTGCATTGCAGACTCAGCACTGCCTTAATTGTAGTAGGCTCTGGGTGCTCATAGGAATATCATATCTGGGTTTTGGAGGCTGTTCCTAATAGCTCTGATAGATTCCTTCCTCTGTACCACACATTAAGATCATTAGGAGCCTTTTTTTTTTTTTTTTTTTAAGCCAAGAAGCCCCAGTGCATTCTACTGGCACCTACTTCAAGCTCAGGAAATCGATTCAGCCCCATCCATTCATTTATTTCCTCCTGAGAAGTTACAGGTTTTATTTGCATTATGGTGAGCCTTTGTTAAAAACAATCCAACTTAATTTCAAAGTACCGAACAAGGCAGAGCAGTTCCCAGTGGGCACTATTTTCAGAGTTACCAGAAGTGTTTTACTTCCAAGGATGACTCTTGCCACTTGTAGTTTCATACCTCTCATAATATCAGCTGGACTAACTGAATGAAAGTCAGAAGGCATACTTGAGCCTTTTGGTGGCAATCATGTGCCTACCCGAGGTTGGATACCTAGCAGCAGGCAGCCTAGCGTTTGGATCTATTTCTGCATCTAACCCGTGATAGGGGGCCCCCTTCCTACCTCCACAAGCTAAACCCTCTCCCATTGTGTTACTGACTTTGTGCCTAGTGTTCAGCTCCTGAAGCAACCAGCTAACACTAGACCTAGCAGGTACTCAACTACTTCTTCTTCTTTTGACTCTTTAGATCAGACTTGTTGTGGAAGAGGGATTGAATCAGCTGCCATATAAAGAATGCATGGTGACCACCCCAACAGGTAACCAGGGCTGTTACTCTCGGATCCTCGTCCTGAAAATTCTGAGAATTAGGGGGAAAATGGGAAAAAAAAAAAGCAGTCATTTTACTGTGATTTATCTACCATGAGGTTGAGAATACTTTTTCTTCTTCCTTCTCTTCTCCTTTTTCTTCTTCTTCTTAATTTTCAGTTCTCTTGTTAAGTTTTATCCTGGTTCTTAATTTATAGAGCTTTTTGTATGTATGTATGTATGTCTGAGGAGTATTAACTTTTGTTTTCGATAAATGCTTCAGGGGCACCTGGGTGGCTCAGTCATTAAGCGTCTGCCTTCGGCTCAGGTCATGATCCCAGGGTCCTGGGATCGAGCTCCACGTCAGGCTTCCTGCTCGGTGGGGAGCCTCCTTCTCCCTCTCCCACTCCCCCTGATTGTGTTCCTGCTCTCACTATCTCTCTGTCAAATAAATATAAAAATCTTTAAATAAATAAATAAATACTTCAAATTGTTTCCTTAAAAAAAAGCAGTCTGAGCAAATCAGTATGCAAAATGAGGAGTCTAGGTGGAGCTGTTCTTTTCAACAACTTAATAAACTCAGAGACATTTAGTAAAGAAATTTATGTGGATGACTTTTTGTTAATGGCTTGCTTGTCAGTTCAAGTTCAAGGTTAGTAAATATTCTTTAGCATGCAAGTGTTGCCTTTGATGACAGCCCATTGGGACCAGAGTTAAGAATTGCTGGCAGCTTATCTTCACCTCTGTGGGGAAGCTGCTGGTATTAATAAATGGGTGGGTTGGTTTGGCATTGAAACTCCAGGTAAATTAATGAGAAGTAAAAAAGACAAAGAAAACTAAAAATGATGAGATCCGGTGAGAGTACTTTGTTTTACTCTAATAGAACACAGCTGAACATCCCTATTTCAGGGATTTGAAATTCCGAGAGAACCAAATGTTCTCTAGTAAATAATGGAAGCTGTTCTATTCAAAGGTTGACTTTATGAAAATTAGGGGCTGAGCTTGTTGCATCATAATTGATCCAAATTCAGGATGACACCAAGGGCTGAATATGTAACGACTTCAGCCTTTGTCTTCTGCTTTTTAAGGCAGAATGGAAGCTCATAAAAAGGGCTGGAATGAAGGAGGCTCTCTGTTGTGCCTCACAGTGAGGTCACAGTGAGGTCCCAGTTTGAACGGATGGGTTTTATAGCCCTCAGAGTGCGATGATTTCCCTCTGAATTCAATTTGAGGAATGTGTGTGTGAATATCATGCTATCATAAGTCCTGTTCCTACTTGACGAAGCCCGTGTCTGCCAATTATCCCCGCAGGTCTCTTATGAAGAATTAAGAAAGAACGGAAAAATCATGACTTCTCATTACTTTCACAGGGAACATAAGAGGTTATACAGACTGTCTAGACAAGGGTTGCTCTGTGCCCATTGGCTTTAAATTATAGGCACTTTAAAAAGAAGTGGATTGCTCTGGTAATAAGAGATAAATTCTTTGATTTTATTCCCCAACAGGGTACAAGTATGAAGGAGTGAAATTTGAGAAGGGAAATTGTGGGGTCAGCATAATGAGAAGCGGTAGGTTTGCATATGTGTGATTTTTGTCTCTTTGCACGCAGAGAAACAATTATTTTTCCAGGAGAGAGGTGAGCTTGTCTGTCATAATTGCAGCCTGCTTTGACTTAAATCTTACCACCTGTGTTGTCTATCCTCACGGTGCCTTGGATCATGGCCTGTGTGTTGCTAAGTTTGACTAATTTTAACTGCAGAGCGTCTACTCTAGTGGCCTCCCCCCCGCCCCCGGCAAGCCAGCCTTCGGAGAGATTCAGGGTAGGATAGGAGGATGAGATGGTGCTCTCTTGGGGAGAAAAGGGCGGCTTGAAGACTGATGGAATATGGCACAAATTCAGGCCCACGGAACTTTGAATACCTGACTGGAGAAATATATATTTTTAAAATTTCTTTTGTAGGGAATTGTCCTACCCTATCGGGAGCTGGACTGAATGACTTATTTAGTGTTTTTAGTTTTATATTTGATGTGTATGTGACCATATGGCAAAAGCACTTAACTGTTCTAACTCTAGGTATTTCCAGTTGCTGGTCTTATAAATGTTGTATTTGTGTTTGAGTCCAACTGATTACTCTTTTAAACCCATCTTTGTGCAACAAAATCACATGCCTGTAATTAGAATATCTACTTGTTCCATGGGGATGATTACTTCTATTTGGCAACTAAGTAAATAAATAAATTTTTACACAAGATCCAAGGTTTGGTGGAAGCTTCACTTGCTTGCACTGGAGATAAATGGATTTATTTTTCCCATATAAGCATTGCCTTTTCTCTGGCTGTGAATTTCTGTTTGTGAGCAATTGAAAACCTCAAGTAGAATAGGAGCTTTAAGCTCCCTTTTTTTTAAATAGAAGGTAGCTTTTAAGCAATGAAAGGATTTTCAGGACAATGTTACTTAACCTTTTAAAACTGGTGAAGACAATGGAGATGGGCTTTTAGGGCATTTTTTCTTTTAGTTTAGTCCAGTTCCTGCCCGAAAGGTAGCAGCATCCTCACACCTCTAGTCTATAGCAGATGACCTTGGGTAATGCATAGACAGCGTTGTTTTTTAACCTTGTTAGCTATTGGTTGATTTTCACATGTATTAGAAACTGTTTTTATGTTTACACCAGTGATGGAAACTTTCCTCTTAAAATAAATGCAAGTGAAAACAGTTAAAGAAAAATGTTAAGTAAATAACAGTATAGATAGAATTCTGATCTAGCCTAAAATCTGGAAGATGGTACGAGAATGATTCCCTTTTGGGAAACCCTTCCTTAAAGGAATTTAGACCAAGAAAATACCTGTGTTCAGAAACCAAGGGGGTAGTAGTAGTGTTGGTTATGGTTCTTGGAGGAGGGGAGGGAAGGAACAATATACTTTTTCACTGGTGTCCAGCAAACTTCTGCCATTAGAGGCATTGCTGGGGTGTAGTGATATCTCCTGATGCCACTTTGGTCTGTAACCCGATTCTTCCATAAATCTTCTGTATTTTTTTTTTTTCAGATGAAAATAACAGGTTGAGGTGGTTTAAAGCCTTCCTTAAAATAATAGGAGTAAAATGGTCCTGATACTGGAAAGGCTCAGGGAGCAGCCCAACAAAACACCTTATTTTTTGTATTTCATGGAAGCGTGACATCTCTAAAACTTGAAAGCCAGCAATAAAACTAGTTTATCCTACTTTCATTGACCGGCCCTTAATCTGGTTTAATTGACCTGCACTAAGTATAAAATAAGAGCATATCAGAAATAAAAGCTCTTAGCTTAGGAAGAATTGCTCCCGTCTTGACAGTATCCTTCTTGTATTAATAGTAGTCACACACTCTGCTTTGGCCTATTTTTGGACTTTAATTCTATCTCCCCCAACCCTTTTTTTTTCCTTTTGAAAATTTTCCTTCTTCGAGGTGAGGCAATGGAACAAGGTTTACGAGACTGCTGTCGATCCATACGAATTGGAAAGATCCTGATTCAGAGTGATGAAGAGACACAAAGAGCCAAAGTATATTATGCCAAGTTCCCCCCAGACATTTACCGCAGAAAAGTCCTTCTGATGTATCCAATTCTCAGTGAGTGGCTGGAGTTTAATTTGTATACTTTGCTTAGGGTTTAAATCAGTTCAACTTAGTGACTGCCTTTTAGGTACCCCTTATATAAAGGCAAAACCATTTCTCAATGTGTTTTTCTCAGTTGGATTTGGAGTTGCCCTGGGCAGCTCACTGGGGCATTTTTATTGTGTAATAAGAGAGTATACATTGTCTAAATAAACTTTATTATCTCCAAAGAGCTTTTGTTTTAAAATGAATGAAAACACTGAAGCAAAGGATCTAATGAGGCAAAATATATAGAACACAGAAAATATATTGAGGGGCGCCTGGGTGGCTCAGTCGTTAAGCATCTGCCTTCGGCTCAGGTCATGATCCCAGGGTCCTGGGATTGAGCCCCGCATTGGGCTCCCTGCTCCATGGGAAGCCTGCTTCTCCCTCTCCCACTCCCCCTGCTTGTGTTCCCTCTCTCACTGTGTCTCTCTCTGTCAAATAAATAAATAAAATCTTTAAAAAAAGAAAAGAAAATATATTGAAATATGTCCCTTCTCTAGCCCAATTAATGTAGCAGTGAATTTCTCAAGGATTTATCCTCTCTGAAAGTGATATTTTTTTCTATTCTGTGTTTTAAGCTTATTCGGATCCCACACGGTATTGTCTCCCAGGGTTTGTGGTGGAGGGTGGGTGTCAAATTTGATATCTCAAATACTAATGAATTTGGGGTTTGATGTGCATTTGAAAACTGAAAAGTGTATGTGTCATGTCCATTATTGGAAAATAATATCATGGATGGGGCGCCTGGATGGCTCAGTCGGTTAAGTGTCCAGCTCTTTGTTTCGGCTCAGATCATGATCTCACAGTCGTGAGATCAAGCCCAGCATCAGGCTCCTGTCTCTCTCTCTTTCTCTCTCTCTCTCTCTCAGATAAGTAAAGAGATAAATAAACAAATAAATAAAATCTCTTAAAAAAAGAAAAGAGAACGTCATTGATAAAGAACAGGCACCTTCAAATGGAGCTTTGCCTAGTGTCAAACTGCCTTTACTTCAAAGAAACTTCAAAGCCGTTTTGAGATAAATGTTAAAGTTTCTAATGCATTTGGTTGTCATTTGATTTCAGGCACTGGAAATACTGTAATTGAAGCTGTAAAGGTTCTTATAGAACATGGAGTTCAACCCAGTGTTATCATCCTACTCAGTCTGTTCTCTACTCCTCATGGTGAGTTCAGCATGACTGGGGCTCCAGATGATCATGGTTGGGTAAGTGTGTATCTGTCCAGACTCTCATTGTGAAGAGCATTGCTTCTTCCACATTAAATCTAAATCGAATTTTGGTAGTTTATCATCTCTAAGCTTAGTGATAAAGTATTTTTATACCATTCTCATGTGCAAATTCAAATGGAAAAGTATGAACTAACCTCTTTGAAGGGGAATGTAATTGTTTTCCTGGTATCCCTGTTTGGGTAGAGCCTGTACATGGCTAAAATGTCCCTGTTTCTCCTGACTTCTCACCTGAGCCTGAGAACTGCTCCCAAACAGCAAGAAACTTGAGGCTCTGGTTAGCCCTGTGGTCTTGCTGCATAAACTTTGCAGCATGAAGCAAAGAGTGGTTGTTTTCTAAGTTCTGCCTCTGCTCAGAGGGTATAAAGGGTAGAACTGTGAGTTCTCCATTTCCTTGGGAAGGTAAACCTAATGTAAGGCTCCAGTTTTTAGCTATACAATCTAGGACAATTGTGAAAGTATCCTAAGAAAATAATCATACATGCATGTAGAAATTTAGCCCTTAGGGTATTCACTGCAGAGTTATTTGTAGTGTAAGAAAAGATTTGAAAGTATATAAATGACTTACAACAAAGAAATGGTTGAATAAATATACATTCAAAGGATGTAATATTATGTAACTGTTAAATCATGTTTTTGAAAAATATTTAATAACATCGAAAAATCTACATGTAAACATAAAAAAGCATGTTAAAAAATAACAGCATTAAAATAAAGTAAAATGTTATCACCAACTTTAGAGGCGACTAATGCAAATTATGACTATTATGACTACCAAAATCAGACTTGGATTTAACATAGAACCTAATAAAGTCTTTCCTTAGTATGAGGGATTAGACAGATGCACAATACTATTTCAATTTTCATTTTAAAATACATACTATATTAATGGTGGCTATCATAGGATGCTGGGACTCTAAGCAATTCATTTTATTTTTTTAAGCTTTTTTTTTTGTATTTCCCAAATGTTTGACAATGAATTTGTATTTGTTTCCTAATTGAAAAGAAAGAGAAATATGTGGCTTCTGGTTAGGGTGTTTCCTCATTTCCAAAGGTTCCCAGTCTCAGCCAACCTTGAAGGGGCTACGGTGTATCCAGTTGGAAGGGCTGCTTTCCTAGGCTGTTGTTTATTTCGTTGTTTCTTTCGTTGTTTCATAATAAAAATTCGCCTGCATTTCAAATGTTGATAGTGACAAAGGTAATTTGCTTGGTCATCTGTTTATATATAGCAGAGGTGGCACTATAAACATTGAGATAACCAAATAATTATTGGGTTTCCTGCCTTTGGAAGTAGAAAAGTTAACTATTAGTTCTAAGAGTGTACATTAGAATGGTGTACTATTCTTTGACATTGTAGATGAACAAATCTTTTGTGGCAGCATTGCTATGGTTTTTTAGTTTGGCGAGGGTCCTAGCTCATCCCTTTCCCTGCAACCCCCAAAGCTAGAGTCCTAACTTCTAAAAGCTAGCTCACTCTGACATCCAAAGGAGTTTTTACACTTGTTTCACAGTGTTCCAGTTGAGAAGCCATCATCTTATATATGATCCTATTTCTGGAAGGGACTGTAGTCTCTCTGTTCCAGCTGCCTTTGAAATGAAACAAAACAAAGACTCTTCAGGGAGGAAGTTGCTGTAACTGAATGTATTTTTAAAGTCTTGGATATATAACAATTTGATTCTAAGAATTTATTAGTGAATGAGTAAAGGCATAGTGTGATGATTGTCAAAGCTTTTCAGATATCAGACATATAAACTCGGAGAGTAATCCAGTCTGACTAGGTATTTAAAGGTCATTGCTTTCTGTCTTCTGTCTGTATTATACCCAATGACTATAAAATTTCTGAATTCCAGCTAACATTACCAAAAAGTCATGCCATAACAGCAATTCTCCTTTTATTTTTTGAAGGTGCCAAATCAATCATTCAGGAGTTTCCAGAGATCACAATTTTAACTACTGAAGTTCATCCTGTCGCACCTACACATTTTGGACAGAAATACTTTGGGACAGACTGAGTTACCAAAGGAAAATTAATGATCTTGTGTACTATTACAGTTAATGTTCTGAGTTTCTACTTGTTTTACTAATTCACTTGAGGAATGGCAGAGGAAATTACGTTTTGTAACTTCAAAGTGGGTATAGTAAAAAGGAAATATTTGAGATTTATTTAGTTTATTTGATTATTTCTTAACTGTCGGCACCAAATTCAACAGGGAAGCACACACAACTCTTAGAAAATATTTTAATAATCTTCTGCAAGTCGATGATCCCTTGGTGCACTGAAACTGCTACCTAATATCTTTTTAGGCTCCACACCCAGCATGGAGCCTAGTGCGGGGCTTGAACTCATGACCCTGAGATCAAGACCTGCGCTGAGATCAAGAGTCAGATGCTTGACCGACTGAGCCACCCAAGGCACCCCAAAACTGTTTGCTGATTTTTGAACCTCTCAGTTTGGATGTTGTTTGCAGCCACAAATAAAGCCCAAATGGGAGTCTGGTCTTTGGCCCACTGTAGTTTACATTTTGTTTAGTTTGCTTTTAGTTCTAGGGAGAGTTCGTATATATGGTTGTTGGCACCTTCTTCTACTCTTTACTTTCTAGTACTGTACATGCCAGTAACTTGGGGAGGGTGAAAAAAGAATGTGTCCTGAAATTTTACATTTCCATTAATATCCTCACTCAGTTAGCAGACCCAGGATATATGGCTAGCTCTTTAGTCAAGCCATTATGTTCTTCATGGCTCACTTCCCACCCTGTGCATTGTTGGTAGGTGCCTTGCCAAGTATACTGCAGTGAAGAAGCTGGTGAGCATTTCCAACAACGGAACTGTAACAATAATTTACGTAGTTAGATTGAACCAGGGATATGTGGATGCTGACAAGGCTGAGTACTGTTAATGCCATCGATGCCCTAGAGAGGAATCTGTGTTTTTTCTGAGGTATGGGGGGAAAGAACAGAAAGAACGGTTTCTTGCTGAGTTTCATGGCCCATGAGTACATTAAATTGCTACATTTTAAATTTGGATATTCCATTCAATTTGGAAATGAGTTCTTTCATGTACTTGTCACCTATAGATGTATTAAAGTTAAAAATACCATGATATTTTTTAAATCCTTAAGATTTATGTGTGTTCCTATTTAGACCCCTGAAAGGAAGATAAACTGCTATAGAAATCAATGTTTGTGTTCTGAAACTTGCTTGTGAAACCCTGATCTCATTTTGCATTGATATTAAATATTTTAACAGTGGTTCTGGCTGATGGCTTGAATAATTATACTCTCACAGCCCCATAGGCAGCTGTTGTGGGCCTCTGGTCCAAAAAATCCAGAAAAAGCAGCAGGCAGTATCTTAGAACCAAAGCTGATGAAAGTCAGCAAAGATTAGGGGAGAGGAAGGAAAAGCTGGTGTACAATGGAATGCATTTTCCCTATAGAGCCTAGGAATCCTAGAAAGACTTTACTGTACTTTCCCTTTATTTTAAAATTTTTTTTAGTTTTTATTTAAATTCACTGTATGTTACTTAACATACAGTGTGTTATTAGTTTCAATTGTAGAATTTTGGGATTCAACACCCAGTGCTCATCACAAGTGCCCTCCTTAATCCCCATTGCCTATTTAACCCATCCGCCCACCCCATGTCCCCTCTGGTAACCATCGGTTTGTTCTCTAAGAGTCTGTTTCCTAAAAATAAGAGTCTGTTTCCTGGTTTGCCTCGCTTTGTTTTCCCTTATCATTTGTTTTGTTTCTTAAATTCCACATATGAGTGAAATCATATGGTATTTGTCTTTCTCTGACTGACTTATTTCGCTTAGCATAATACTCTCTAGCTCCATCCACATCATTTCAAATGGCAAGATTTCATTATTTTTATGACTAATTCCATTATATATATATTATTATATTTATCTTTATATATATATATACACCACAACTTCTTTATCCATTCATCAGTCGATGGGCATTGGGGCGCTTTCCATAATTTGGTTATTGTTGATAATGATGCTATAAACATCAAGGTATCCCTTCAAATCTGTATTTTTGTATCCTTTGGGTAAATACCTAGGGGTGCAGTTGCTGGGTCATAGGGTAGTTCTAGTTTTAACTTTTTGAGGAACCTTCATACTGTTTTCCAGAGTGTTGGCACCAGTCTGCATTCTCACCACCAGTGCAGTAGGATTTCCCTTCCTCCACATCCTCTCCAACACCTGTTGTTTCCTGTGTTGCTGATTTTAGCCATCCTGACAGGTGTGAAGTGATATTGTAGTTTTGATTGGTATTTTCCTGATGATCAGTGATGTTGAGCATCTTTTCATGGGTCTGTTGGCCATCTGCAGTTCTTCTTTGGAAAAACGTCTATTCATATCTTCTGCCCATTTCTTGACTGGATTATTTGTTTTTTGGGAGTTGAGACTGATAAGTTCTTTATACATTTTGGATATTAACCCTTTATCAGATATGTCACTTGCAAATATCTTCTCCCATTCGTAATGTTGCTGTTTAGTTTTGTTGATTGTTTCCTTCTCTGTGCAGAAAAGCTTTTTATTTTTATAAAGTCCCAATAGTTTATTTTTGCTTTTGTTTTCCTTGCCTCGGGAGACATAACTACTAAGACTATCTTTTTTCCATTGGATATTCTTTTCCTGCTTTATTGAAGATTAGTTGCCCTATAGTTGTGGGTACATTTCTGGGTTTTCTGTTCTGTTCCATTGATCTATGTGTCTGTTTTTGTGCCAGTACTGTACTGTCTTGATAATTACAGCTTTGTAATACAGCTTGAAGTCTGGAATTGTGGTGCCGCCAGCTTTGCTTTTCTTTTTCAAGGTTGCTTTGGCTGTTTGGGCTCTTTTCTGGTTCCATACAAATTTCAGGATTGTTTGTTCTAGCTCTGTAAAAAATGCTGGTGTTATTTTGATAGGGATTGCATTAAATGTGTAGATTGCTTTGGGTAGTATAGACATTTCAACAGTATTTGTTCTGTTCCATGAGCATGGAATGTCTTTCCATTTCTTTGTGGCATCTTTGATTTCTTTCATCAGTGTTTTATACTTGATACAGATTTTACCTCTTTGGTTAGGTTTACTCCCAGGTATCTTATGCTTTTTTCTGCAGTTGTAAATGGGGATTCCTTGATTTCTCTTTCTGCTGCTTCATTATTTGTGTATAGAAATGCAACAGATTTAGGGATGCCTGGGTGGCTCAGTCGGTTAAGCATCTGCCTTAAGTTCAGGTCATGATCCCAGGATCCTGGGATCAAGTCCTGAATTGGGCTTCTTTCTCAGAGGCGAGCCTGCTTCTCCCCCTGCCTGCTCTGCCCGCTCTGCCTGCCCCGCTTTCCCTGCATGTGCTGCTCTCTTTTTCTCTCTCTCTCTGACAAATAAATAAATAAATAAAATCTTAAAAAAAAAAAAGAAATGCAACAGATTTCTATATGTTGATTTTGGATCCTGAGACTTGACTGAATTCATGTATTAATTCTAGCAAATTTTTTGTGGAATCTTTTGGATTTTCTACATAGAGTATCATGTCATCTGCAAATAGTGCAAGTTTGACTTCTTCTTTGCTGATTTGGATGCCTTTTATTTCCTTTTCTTGTCTGTTTGCTGAGGCTAGAACTTCCAGCACTATGTTAAATAAAAGTGGTGAGAGTGGACATCCCTGTCTTGTTCCTGACCAAAGAGGAAAAGCTCTCAGTTTTTCCCCATTGAGGATGATATTAGCTCTGGGTTTCTTTGTATATGGTCTTTATGATGTTGAGTTATGTTCCCTCAGTCCCTACTTTGTTGAGGGTTTTTATCAAAAATGGACACTGTACTTTGTCAAGTGATTTTTCTGCATGTACTGAGAGGATCATATGATTCTTATCCTTTCTTTTATTAGTATGGTATGTCATCTTGATTGATTTGGGAATATTGAACCAACCTTGCAACCCAGGAATAAACTCCACTTGATTGTGGTGAATGACTCTTTTAATGTGCAGTTGGGTTTGATTTCCTAGTGTTTGTTTCCTAAAAGATTTTATTTATTTATTTGAGAGAGAGAGTGTGTGTGCACAAGCAGGAGGGAGGGGCAGAGGAAGAGGGAGAAGCAGACTCCCCGCTGAGCAGGGAGCCCTACATGGAGCTTAAGTGCAGGACCCCGAGATCATGACCTGAGCTGAAGGCAACCGCTTAAACGACTGAGCCATCCAGGTGCTCCTCGATTTCCTAGTATTTTATGGAGAATATTTGCATCCATGTTCACTGGGGACATTGGCCTGTAATTCTCTTTTTTAGTGGAGTCTTTATCTGGTTTTGGTATTGGGGTAATGCTGGCCTCATAGAATGAATTTGGAAGTTTTCCTTCCAATTCTATTTTTTGAAATTGTAGAATACATATTAACTTTTCTTTAAATGTTTAGTAGATTTCTCCTGGGAAGTCGTCTGGCCCTGGACTCTTGGTTGTTGGGAATTTTTTGATTGCTGACTCAATTTCTTTGCTTGTTATCCGTCTTTTCAAGTTTTCTGTTTCTTCCTGTTTCAGTTTTGGTTGTTTCTATGTTTCTAGGAATTTATTTTGTCCAGGTTGTCCAATTTTTTTGCCATATATTTTTTCATAACATTCTGTTAGAATTGTTTGTACTTCTGTGGTATCTCCTCTCTTATTTGTGATTTTATTAGTTTGGGTCCTTTCACTTTTCTTTTTGCTAAGTCTGCTAGGGGTTTGTCAGTTTTATTATTATTATTTTTTTTTAAGAAACAGCTCCTGGTTGCATTGATCCGTTCTATTGTTTTTTAGTTTCTATATCATTTTTTAAAATTTTTTTCTCTTGCTATTTATTTATTTATTTTATTATTTATTTATTTAATTATGTTCAGTTAGCCACTGTATAGTACATAGTCTTTGATGTAGTGTTCAATGATTCATCAGTTAAGTATTAACACCCAGTGCTCATCACAGCATGTGCCCTCCTCAATACCCATCACCCTATTACCCCCTCTCCCCATTCTCCTCCCCTCTGAAACCCCCAGATTGTTTCTCAGCGTCCATAGTGTCTCATGGTTCATCTCCCTCTTTGATTTCTCCCCCTTTTGATTTCCCTCCCTTCCCCTATGGTCCTCCGTGCTATTGCTTATGTTCCACATATGAGTGAAACCATACCATAATTGTCTTTCTCTGCTTGACTTACTTCACTTAACATAATCTCCTCCAGTCCCATCCATGTCGATGCAAATGGTGGGTATTAATCGTTTCTGAATGCTGAATAATATTCCACTGTGTATATGTACCACATCTTCTTTATCCATTCAGCTGTTGAAGGGCATCTCGGCTCCTTCCACATTTTGGCTATTGTCGACATTGCTGCTATGAACGTTGGGGTTCACGTGCCCCTTCTTTTCACTATGTCTGTATCTTTGGGGTAAATAGCCAGTAGTTCAATTGCTGGGTCATAGGGTAGCTCTATTTTTAACTTCTTGAGGAACCTCCATACTGTTTTCCAAAGTGGCTGTACCAGCTTGCATTCCCACCAACAGTGTAAGAGGGTTCCCCTTTCTCCGCATTCTCGCCAACACTTCTTGTTTCCTGTCTTGTTAATTTTTGCCATTCTAACTGGTGTAAGGTAGTATCTCATTGTGGTTTTGATTTGTATTTCCCTGATGGCTAGTGATGTTGAGCATTTTTTTCATGTGTCTGTTAGCCATTTGTATGTCTTTTTTGGAGAAGTGTCTGTTCATGTCTTCTGCCCATTTTTTGACTGGGTTATTAGTTTTTTGAGTGTTGAGTTTGAGAAGTTCTTTATTGGTCTTGGATATCAGCCCTTTATCTGTAATGTCATTTGCAAATACCTTCTCCCATTCCGTGGGTTGCCTCTTTGTTTTGTTGACTGTTTTCTTTGCTGTGCAGAAGCTTTTTATCTTGATGAAGTCCCAAAAGTTCATTTTTGCTTTTGTTTCACTTGCCTTTGGAGACATGTCTTGAAAGAAGTTACTGTGGCCGATGTCGAAGAGGTTACAGCCTATGTTCTCCTCTAGGATTTTGATGGATTCCTGTCTCACATTGAGGTCTTTCATCCATTTTTAGTTTATCTTTGTGTATGGTGTAAGGGAATGGTCCAGTTTTATTCTTCTATATGTAGCTGTCCAATTTTCCCAGCACCACGTATTGAAGAGACTGTCTTTTTTCCATTGGATATTTTTTTCCTGATTTGTCAAAGATTAGTTGACCATAGATTTGAGGGTCCATTTCTGGAGTCTCTACTCTGTTCCATTGG